TGTTGTCAGTTTCGTCGTCCGGGGCCATCCAAACAAGCTTCCCTGACGATCAGGCCAATTCGAGTCAATTTCGCACGCGACGCGACAAGTAATATTCATTGACCCGATCAGAGTCGTTCGATGAACAGAATGTCAACCGGCCTTTGTTTAAGTGAAATTCAAAGTATAGCAAAGCGACCACGGCTACGTGTCCCTCAACGCAAATGGGTGGGTCTCGAGCCGATGTCTCAAGCTACGTGAAACAATAAATACATGAAGCATGAGCTTGATATGCTTAGATGGACATCTCACACATGTGACATAAAAAAAATGATGCCAACAAAGGACCCCAACAAGTGTGTTGCGCCACTACGGCACAATGCACTTTTTTGCAACATCCTCAAAAAGGATCTCTTTTGAGAGTTAAGTTGACATTCTAAGAGAAGACAAAAAAAACCTCAACCAGGCTGAGTAAGCTGGCAAGGATATAGTCGAAGGTGTGGCTAACCAACCGAAACCGGCCAACCATAAAAATAAGTTCAAAGGCCATAAAGGTATAACCTAGAAGGGCGGTTCAGAGGCCGTAGATGTATAACAAAAAAAAAATCCCAACCATGCCAGATAAACTGGACAGGGTATGACTGGGTTGATGGTCAACAATCGAAGCTAACTGTCCACCAAAAAGCTCAGCCAGGCTAGATAAATTGGATATGGAATGGCTGAGAAAAGGGCTGTCTAACCTCACTCGAAACGACAGATCGATCTGTCTGACCTATCTTTCGAAACGACAGAATCGATAAAACCCCGCACCTGACCTCATTGGTAATGGTGGGGAAGAAAGCTCAATCATCTTGTGTGACAAAGTCTCCTGTTATGTTTCTCTTATTTTTAAAATTGGTCGGTTTCGACTAGCTAGTCACACCTTCGATCATATCCTGTCCAGCTTACCTGACCTGGTTGAGGTTCTTTTTGTCTTCTCTTGGGACGTCAACTCGACTATCAAGAGAGACTTCCTTTTGGAGGATTTTGTTAACAAGTGCACTGTATCTTAGTGGCGCAGCACACTTATTGGATGTCCTTTGTTGGCATCACTTTTTTATGTCACATGTGTGGGATGTCCACCTAAAAATATCGGGATTATGCTTCATGTATTTGTTGTTTCCCGTAGCTCAAGACATACGCTCGAGACCCACCGACACGAATTGAGGGGCACGTAATCAGAGTCGTTTTGCTAGACTTCGAATTTCGCTTAAACGAATGTCAGTCGACATTCTGTTCATCGAACAAATCTGATCGGGTCTACGAAAATTATGTGTCGCGTCGAGCGCGAAATTGACTTGAATTGACCTAATCGTCAGTGAAACTTGTTCGGATGACCTCATACGACGAAATGGATTGCCCGAATGAATTCAGAATGTCGGTTTTAGCTTACTAGATGTCCATTTCGCTACAGCTTCGCGAGCAAGCCAAAAATGTGTGAATTATCTTTTTGAGCCAAATCGTCGAAAAAATTGTCTAGATTACCCCGGATGACAAAACGGACCCACCAATGTGTTTGAAACGTCGACTTCACCTAAGAAAGACATTCCTTTTGCTGTGAGGTGTCTGGACGAAAAATGCACAAGTAGCATTAAATAATTATAATAATAATATTATTATTATTAAAATAAAAAAAAACTATATGACAAGAATTATCCTATTAAACTATTAACGCATGCACTTTTCTCTCTTTTTTTATCTCATCTCTCCCCATCACGTTAATATATATATATATATATATATA